TTCTTTACTTCCTTAATAGAGCCAAGTAAGAATACTAGTTGTTCTGCTAGAAGAAAACACAGGTCAACACTCTAACATATTAGACAGGCATTGACTTCCTTAGCAAGACCCCAAAAGCTCAAGAAATAAAACCAAGAATCAATAAATGGGAAAGCATTAAATTAAAAAGCTTCTGCACAGCAAAGGAAATGATAAGGAGAATGAAGAGAGAATCGGCAGGAGAAAAAATATGCTAGCTGCTCCTCTGACAGGGGATTAATATCCAGAATATATAAAGAACTCAAAAAGCTTAGCACCAAGGAAATAAATTATCCAATCAAGAAATGGGCAAAAGAACTAAACAGACATTTCTCAAAAGAAGAAACACAAATGGTCAACAAATATATGAAAAAAATTTTAACATCTCTAGCAATCAGGGAAATGCAAATCAAAACTACACTAAGATTTCATCTCACTCCAGTCAAATGGCAATTATTAAGAATATAAATAAGAATAAATGCTGGCAAAAATGTGGGGGAAAATGTATACTCATACATTGTTGATGGTCCTGCAAATTAATAAAAAACAGTATGGAGAGTCCAAAAAACAAAAACAAAAACAAACTAGGAATGGAACATCCATATGACCCAGCTATCCCACTCCATGGTATACATCCAAAGAACTAAAATCAGCATATTATAGTGATACAGACACATCAAGTTTATAGCAGTGCAACTCACTCTAACCAAGATATGGTACAGTCCTGGTGCCTGTCAATAGATGAATGGATCAATAAAATGTGGCATATATACACAATGAGTTTTACTCATCCATAAAGGAGAATAATATGGCACTTGCCAGTAAATGAATGGAACTGAAGAACATCAAGTTAAGAGAAATAAATTAGATTCAGAAAATCAAAGGGTCGAATGTTTTCTCTCCCCCTGCAGAAGCTAGAGGAAAGCAAGGGGGAGAAAAGTGGGATTCGGTAGTCACAAACATATAGGGAAGATCAATAGAGTAGAGGAAGGGGATTGAGAGGATGGGAAAGGGGAGGAAATGTGGAATAAAATTGACAAGATTATGCTATGTACATGCATAAATATACTCCAGCAAATTCCACCCTTATGTATATCTATAAAGCATTAATTAAAAATAAATAAATCAATGAGTGAAAGGAAGACCTGTAGAGGAAAGAGAATAGGTGAAGGGAGTAGAGGTGGAAATGGGGTAGGGGGTACCAGGATCTGAAATAAAGTAAGTTAAACTCCATGCATGTATGATTATGTCAAAATAAACCCAACTATTATATATAACTATAATACACCAATAAAAACAAAACAAAACAAAACAAAAAGCTAAGAAACAGAAAAACCAAGAACACTAATTGCTGCCCTATTCCTCAAGAATATCTCCCCCTATCCCCGCCCCCGCCCCCGCCCCGCCATTGCCCACCTTGTCTCCATACCCCTCTACAAACTCAGATGTAGGTCTCTGTTCTTGCCCATGACAAATGTCCATTCTGATTGGTGGTGCCTCTGGCACCTTGGTTGCTTAATATTTTGAATATCACTCCTTAATAGAAATATTTTATACTGTAGTAGTTGAACATGTGGTTTTAGAATTAGACAGACCCTACTAAGAATGTTTGCAGCATTGTTTTGGTAGCTGGAGATCTTGAACAGATTAACCAAATCTTTCAAATTTAGTTTTCTCATTTGTAAATATCTACTCCTGGATATTGTTTTGAGGATTAAATGAGAAAATGTATATAAAACACTAGCATAGTGCTTGGAACACAGCAGCATTAAAAAATATTAGCTGTTATCACACCTATCAAAGTAAAACTATATAGATAAAATATTAGCAATAAAATGATATATCAACATAAAACAAATTCTGTCCAAATTTGTTTAATCCTTCAAAAATGTTCAATACTATTTATATAACTGAGTTGTTAAGAAATGCCTGTGAGACCAGGCAGGTAGCATAAATGCTTGAAGTGGATTAGGGACTGATCATAGCCAACTATGAATATAGGGAATACAGGCTGGGTTGCCAGATCTGAGTTTTCAAGAGAAGATAGGGATTCAGAGTTAAATGAAATTCATAGATTTTTGAATGTAGATAATTGCATCAAAACATGTATGTGTGCAGGGGAGACTATATAGACCAAAAGATGTCAATGGACTGTTGCCATCTTTGAATTATATTACTTCACCTACTCTCAGAATGTATATGAAATACATAAATAATAGGGATATATAATAGGGATAAATATCAACTCTAGTTCTAGTTCTAATAATGATACTTTATTTTAATTTAAATCCAGACATTTAAGAAATAATCATGCCTTTATAAAGTAAAAGAGTAAACTATATAAACAGGCTAAATACAGATTTTTAGGAATTCAGGTGGGTACTGGTTACATATTTGGTAGACTAAAGTTCTAAAGATTTCATGGGAGAAATTTGGTAAAATGCAAATTAAAATGTTATTGCAAATTAATATGTTAATAATTAACATATTGAAGGTTTTAGCAGACACAAAGAACTTTCTTTAATAAGCTCTACTGAGATAATAACTTTTCTGGGGGGTGGTGCTGGGATGAACCAGGGCCTCTACATATGGTAGGCAAGCATTCTGCAATTGAGCTATCCCCTCAGTGCCCTGAGAAAATGACTATTTTCTGGTATTTTTGTATATTTCAGAAAGGTATTAAGAATTTAACAAGTAAAAAAATTCTTACCAGCTGCAAACCTCTCTGTTTTTCAGCCAACCTTTGTTGTGCAATTTTAAGAACACTTTGAGCTTCAGCCACTTGGTTTTGTTTAGGGACTACCACCTTAAAGAGAATGCCAGAATATTTAGGTATTGAAAAAGTCAAGTTTACTATTAAGAATGCCACTAACCATGAAAGATTTATAAGTGTCAACCGTTAAAATAAACTTTCCTGGAATTTCCTATGTGTGCATAGGGGATATAAAGTAGCTTACTATGGTAACTAAAATAAATAAAATGATACATGATTGTTTTCAGAGAAAAATGTAATAGGAGCACTTGACATCTGTGTGAGTTAGTATAATGTATTTGATTAAAATGGATTTCATTAGGCATTCTTTCCACAGAAGTTCATTTTAAAAATCATTTCTGGAACTTTTTGGCATATCACTTTTAAATCATCACAGAGATTAAGGAGAAAAAGCATACCTTCCGTACTTCATGGTAGTCGTTCAAAGCTATAACCCACTGGCACATTGAGCGGCAAGCAACAGAAATCAGAGCAAGTTTGGTTGGGTTGAAATCAGGCAAGCTTAAAATTTTTTTCAGTTTCAGGAAAACCTAGAGAAAATATACATGTTACATGAGAAAGAAATATTATTGATCTAGTTTTCCCCAATGTACAATAGAATGAATGAAACTTTAGTTCCTATAAAAAAGACTCAACTACTTGTTAATTGCAGAAGCAGACATATCTGTCTAGGTTACAAAATAGCCCTAGGTCAGGAAGAGAAAACCCTCTTTACTGAAAAACTGCTACTGCTATTGTTCAGTAGCTTTGTTATGGTTTTTCAAAAGGAACTCTAGCTTTTGGAAATATGGTATACAAGGAGGCCTGAAGTCCCCTGGTACTCCATTTTGAGATGACTATGTTCTGTCCTCACAACCTTCACTGGTTTGACTACACATTCAGTGGTTTGACTACTTCAAGATGATGGGATGGCCTGGGGCATACTGAGGCCCACTGAGGATGATCTCTCACTTAGCTATGTCATGTGCTCATAGATCCACTTCAGCTAAATGGTAACACTTAGAGTTAGGTATATAGAATTTCTCATCTCTTTCTGGGAGCCATATTTGGAATGAAGTCTTTCTCCAACTGAGATTCCTTTTCCCTTTCCAACCAGGCAACTCCTCTCTTGCCTGAAGAACAGAACCACTTCCTGAATAATTTAGATGCCAAGTGGTCCATTCTCAAATTATTGGTTTCTTATTATTACTTAACATACTGCTAGGCTTTTAAAATATTTCATTTGTTGTTTTTAGATATACATGCCAGTAGGGTATATTTTGACATATTATATACACATGGAGTACAACCCATTCCAATTAGGATCCCATTCTTGTGGTTGTCCATTATGTGGAGTTATACCTATCGTGTATTCATATATGAACATAGGAAAGTTATGTCTGATTCATTCTACTGTCTTTCCTATTCCTATCTCCTCCTTCCTTCCCTTCATTCTCCTTTGTCTAATCCAATGAGCTTCTATACTTCTCCACCCCCGCTACCTTCCCTTGTTATGGGTTAGCATCCACATATCAGAGAGAACATTCTGTCTTTGGTTTTGTGAGACTGGCTTATTTCACCTAGCATGATATTCTCCAGTTCCATCTATTTACCAGCAAATGCCATAATTTCATTCTTCTTTTTGGCTAAATAATATTCCATTGTGTATATGCACCACAATTTCTTTATCCATTCATCTATTGAAGGGGCACCTAGGTTGGTTCCATAGCTTAGCTATTGTGAATTGAGCTGCTATGAATATTGATGTGGCTACATAATTATATTATGCTGATTTTAAGTCCTTTTGGTATATACCAAGGAGTGGGATAACTGGGCCAGATAGTGGTTCCATTTCAAGTTTTCTGAGGAATCTCCATACTGCTTTTCAGAGTGTTTGCACCAATTTTCAGTCCTACCAGCAATGTATGAGTGTACCTTTTTCCCCACATCCTTGCCAACATTTGTTCTTTAAATGAGCTATTAATTACTTTTAGCTTAAAAAATATACCTAAACAAAATCGTAGGGGATCATATTTGCTAAGTATTGTCCAGACAGTGAATGTTTGTTGCACTAATTCATGAACAATATGGATATTGACACTAAATTCTGCTAAAAAATCACATTATTCATATACAACCCTGTACTTCCTATTAACACAGATCACCATCATACTAGTTAGCTGCCTAATTTATAATTTAATATCTATCTTCCCTGTTATTTTTTTTATTTTTTTTTACAACATAATGAGCTTGTATTTAATATAGTAATTCTCACCATGGAGATCTTAATTAATACAAAGGCCGTTTTGCTTACATTGAATCTCTTCCAATGTCAATATAACAGTGGCTTTTTTTAACATTAAATTTTTTCTCCATTTCAATATTAGATGCATTGAGTACATTTTTTTCAAAACTTTGTTTTCCCCCTAAAGATAAACATTTCAATTTTGGTTATTTGATATCTAAGTACAATATTAACTTGGGAGATAAAACAAACATGTAATAAAAACATGGAGAAAAAGACTCCTTAAGGACTCAGGAGGCAGTGACAACTCAACAGTGGAGATTTGTTAAGAGTCTGGGCAAGAGATTCCTCCTTCCTATTTCATATGCTTTGAGAATTCTTAAAACTACTACTTCTGTAAATTTACACTATCCCACATCTTTGACCTTTTTTCTAAGCAGCAAATACAATTTATAGGCTGCAGTTTTCAGTGCATTATTTGTTATAAAGAAAACATTTTTTTCTTCCATTTAACAAACATCCATTTGTCCCCATTTCATGGGAAACAACTAAGAATATGAAACCATTACTGTTCACTGGGAAATTCAGAGTAAAGCTCAGGTTTAATCTGAAGAAAACAAGTTTTCAGGGCGAAGTTTGATTCAGGAGGCCCTTGAAAGTTACATCTGTCCATTCCGCTTTCGTGCATACACACCAAGACAAGCACAAATGCCTGTAATGCTGAGAACCACACCTAACAAGAGAGCGATTGCATCTCTGGCTTCTACTGCTTCAACAACTGGCAGAACCAAAAGCAATGAAATGAGGACTAAGAGCAATTGTGTTGAAACTGAGGTCATGATGCTGGGATCTTGAAGACTTAAAGGTTCCAACGAAATGGCATATATAAAAATCTATCTGACTTGAAATATTCCCTTTTTGGAGCTCCGGAAGCTGAGGCTAAGAGAGTACACGTGACACCGCCTTCTGGGAAGCAGCCATTACAGGAATGGTCTATCTTCCCTGTTATAACAGAAGGAATAGGTTGGTCTTATAAACTACTCTGTCCTCATGTCTATTACAAGGAAGATGTTCCTTCAATGTTTATTGAATGACTTAATGATCACTCGCCCTTTCATCCAGGACATTGCCACTCATAAAGGCCAAATGCCACCTATGTAACAACAGGCTAGTAATGCTGCAATTAGTCTGCTTATGACCTTAGCGCTCAGTTCATCTGCTAATGTAATATCACAGTTTGGATATTCTCCCATCCTCAGTCATCAAACTTCACATTTTTAGGCATTTGATATAGCATTGACCACATTTTGGTACCAAAATCTGCATTAGATTCCTTTTGGCTACTATAATAAATTATCGCAAATTGAGTGACTTAAAACATTTTAAGTCTCTCACAATTCTAGAGGCTAGAAGTCTGAAATAGAGATGTAGGTAGGTTTCTAGTACCTTCCAGCTTCTGGGGCTCCTGGCATTACTAGCCTGTGGTTACATAGCTGGCATTTGGCCTTCTTTCTACTTCTATGTACTGTTTCTTGGTCTAGGCCTCTGTAACCTCTTGCTTATTCTGGCAGATCTTGTTTTTTTCTCTTTATGAGAGTCACCTGTCCAACCTGGCCTACCTCACTCTACTGGTGTCTTAAAATCTGCTGTTTGTCCAGGACTTTGGCCTTACTGGATGTTCTCCAGCAAATTTACATTCTTTTGAATTAAATCTGCTATAGCAAATATAGGAAATTCCAATAGATTTTTCAGAGTTATTTTCTTAAAATTTTTTATACCTTAATTTGTACTTCCCATCTCCTCACATATGGATTAATATTTGTAAAGCACTCAGAACAATGTCTTATACATGCTATTATATGAACACTTGTTACACAAATAATGCATTCATTGTGTGCTCATAATGTACTGCAATCCACCCAGAAAAACTCTCTCCGTCTGTTGTCCCGTTACTTTGCTAATCTTTATTATTTAAAGAGATTTAGAGACATGATATTTTTCCAATTTCAGGGACATGTTGCCTTTCCTTGACACTTCCAGGAAATCTATTAAGTTTGGTTATGCAGCTTGCTCTCTGATTTTCTAAATCTCACCATTGTCTTCTGCTTCTAATATATTTTTTCCTTTAAAAAGTTTTTATTTGAAAGTTTTTTTCACTTCTAATACATAATTCCAATTCTAATACTTCTATTTGACTCCATAGGTTATAAATATGAAAGGCATCTATTGTGCATTAATTAGGGAGTAAATGTTTACCTTATCAGGTATGTTGTCCTTGTCAAGATTAATCAGTTTCTTTAGAAAACCAGTTTCTGAAAGAAGCAGCTTTGCCGTTGCCCAGTTAGGTTTCTTTTGCAGAAGAATACATACTGCATTCATGACAGTCAGCACAAGGAAGGGAGGCTTTGTGTACACCCTGTAATAGGCAGTGAGAAGTAATCAACTTCAGGATGAAAAATCAAATGCATTCTGAAAACTCTCTCAGAAGAAAACACACACACACAGGTTTTTAACAGGAGTTATTTGGTTATCTTTTAAAATCTGAGTTTCTTTAGTAATTGGTTATCTTTGCTTTATGAAGATGAGAACCATAAATCTAAATATATAGAACATTTGAGTTAGAGACTAATTCGTTTTATTTAAAAAGTGTCCACTGCAGAGTCATTTAAAAATAGGAACATCCTATTCCTATGTGCCACTTTTCAGGAACAAATATTTGATGCAAAGTGAGGCCTGCTTATATTAGTCCTCTATTACTTCATACAAGGAGTCTGTCTTGGATCCTTACTGATTTACCCCAATCTGCGTTTTCTACGCTCTTTTTTCTTCCTTTAGTCACCGATACAAAGAGTGGCAAAGGATTATACTCTCATGGGGCCATCATTTACATTTTCATTATAAAAAACAGCAGCAAGGAAAGAGAATGAACTAAGTTGTGCATGTGCCAGATGTCTCTGCCACATGTCTGGGAATAGCAACAGAGATCATAATAGAAGCTGCCCTCATTTGGGTGGCATTTTGAAGTAAGTTAAAGGCACATTAGCACTATCACAAGAGAGACTCTTTAAAAACAAACAAACAAAGTATATGCAGGGAAATTTAAGGACAAGGCTGGTTTTCTTCAGCTTTTATAGTGCTAGGGCAGGGGAAGGAAACCTCTCAGTATGAAACTAGCCTTTATTGAGCAGTGTCTTAGGCAAGACTTTGTTCTGAGCATTGTAATTCATCCAGTCATTTCAACATCTACTGTCCCATTGCATAAAAGAGAAGCTCAGGCATAGGTCATACTGCTAGAAAGTGGCAGTGCCAGGATTTCAACCCGGGAAGCTTGGTACCAGAGCCATGCATGTAACCACCATGATACACTGCCCCTCCGAAATTAGCCTAGAGGGAATTTGGACTGATATCTCTGTCAGGAATATTTGCCACAGAAAAAATTGAGAGAGGAGAAGCTTCTGGGACAAAGTCACCAGGTATGGGGGGGTGAAGCCTAAATTGGAAAAGGATTGGCTTCTGTAATCACTCTGATGCCATCTCCTGACACTCCTTGCCCACTGAACTTTAGCCATCTTGGTCTTTTGTATTTCCTGAAGGCCACCAAGCACATGTTTACCATATCAATTTTGTGCTTTCCATTCCTTTGCTTGGAACACTATTCCTCTAGATATCTACCTACTTTACATAGAAACTTCATTCAGTTCTCTGTTCCAATGTTAATTTTCCAGAGAAGCTTTCTCTAGCTGTAACTTCAGTGCCTCAGTGCCTGGCACACAGTGTGTACTCAATATACTTGGCAAATGAAAGAAAAAATAAATGCATAGGAATGAATGCTTATGAATGAAGTAAAAAAGGAAAAGGACATTAAAAATTCACTCCCCTTTTCTGGCTTCTCTCTGTGCATTTGTTTTTCAACCTTAAGTGCATTAACTGCAGCATTGTGATAGGCTTCTTTGTGGTTGTTGGTTTTGGTACAGGGGATTGAACCCAGGACCTCTCTCATGCTGGGCAAGTACTCTCCCACTTAGCTACACACCTAGCCTGTATTTTAGTTATTTTGTTTTGTGACAGGATCTCTCTAAGTTGCCCAGGCTGACCCTGAATTTGTGATCCTGCTGCTTCAGCCTCCTGAGCAGTTGGAATTGCAGCATGTGCCATGGCACCTGGCTGTATGCTTTTGTCCTTTACCATAAAAAAAATTTGTTTAAAAAATACTTCTTTCTACTGTTTGATATCCTTATCACAAGATTTGATACAGTGTTATAAATACGATGGTAGATTTGTTCCATGTTTCCACATCTTTTACTGAAATATTACTTTGTAAAAAGAATAAAAACACATTCTAAGATATAACATGCAAACTCTCCTTATTTGTTCAATGGGAGAGCTCAAGTTAAAAATATGTCACTGACAGATTCAACTTAGAATCAACAGGATCAGATCTTTGTACTCTAAATTATTTAATTTCTTTCAGTATTTTCTTAGCATTTCTCTTTAATCACTACAATGTGTAGACTGGGAAAAGACACAGCAGGGGAAGCACTTCCCACAGCGACACCTTGTGATAACATCCAACACTGCAGTCTCAGAGGGGCAGCTATGCATTCCTACTATAGTCTCTCTACAGCTAAACTGGCTAAGTAGGGTGGCATAAATATTGTCCTCTTACTTTTGAAGCTACAGTTCAGGTAATACTGTATTTTACCAGTTCTAAGATGTAAATTTTACATCTCATAGGCTTGGATTCAGTTTATAACAAATGGCACATCATACTTTAATTGGCAGTATTTTTTTCTTTCTTAAAATAATAATATGCCTTACAATGGAATACAATAGAAGACACAGAGACAAATCAATAGAGATACAATCATCTGATAGATGTGTCGAAGGAAAAGATACTTTTTAAAACAAATCATACTGGGAAAACTGGATATCCATATGTAGAAGAGTGAAACTTTGTCCCTATATCTCATTGCAGGAGTCAAAGTGGATCAAACACCTAGGCAGTAGACCAGAAACTTTGCAGTTGCTAGAAGAAAACATGGAATTGACACTCCCAAGATATTGGCACAGGCACCAATTTCCTTAACAAGACCTTTAAAGCCCAAGAAATAAAACCAAGAATCAATACGTAGAACGGCATCAAATTAAAAAGCTACTGCCTAGCAAAGGAAATGATTAAAAGTATGAAGAGAGAGCCTACAGAATGGGAGGAAATCTTTGCAAGATACTCCTCTAGGGCTGGGGTTGTAGCTTAGTGGTAGAATGCTTGCCTCACATATGTGAGGCCCTGGGTTCGATCCTCAGCACCACATAAAAATAAACAAATAAAAATAAAGGTATTGTGTCCATCTCAACTAAAAAAAATTAAAAAATACTCCTCTAATAGGAATGTATTAAAGAACTCCAAAAACTTAACACCAAACAACACAATTAATAAATGGGGAAAAATTAATCAGACACTTCTCAAAAGAAGAATACAAATGGCTGACAAATATATGAAAAAAATGTTCAGCATCTCTAGCAACCAGGGAATGAGATTTCACCTCACTTCAGACAGAATGGCAATTATTAAGAATGAAAATAAGAAAAAAATATGGCATTTGCAAGATTTCTTAAATAGATAAAACTGAAGAACATCATGCTAAGTAAAATAAGCTGGACCCAGGAAGTCAAAAGTCAAATGTTTCCTTTCATATGCAGAAGTCAAACCAAAATAAGGGAAAAGAAAAGAAAAGGGGGGGGAGTCCCATGAAAACAGCAGAGAGATCTGAGGAGTAGAAGAAGGGAATTGAGGGGAGAAAGGAGGGAGGTGAAAAGGGAGGAACAGGGGAATGAAACTGATTATATTATCCTATGTACATATATGAATACACCACAGTGAATGTCACCTTTATGTATGTGTACAGTGCACTAATTAAAAAACTATTAATTAATAAGAGAAAGACTGGTCAAATAGAGGAAAGGAATAGGGGGAGGAAGTAGGGGAG